TGTGATATTAAGTATCTTGTTGTCATCTTCTATCTTAAAATTTCAGTTGCCTTTTGAGTGTGGCTACTATCAGGTCATGCGGAATGAACTTTCCCTGACCTTCAGAGCTGATCTTGAAGGGGCATATTAGAAATGAGTGCGAAGATTGTGGCAAGCTAGAGACCAAGCGCAACTTTATAGATCATGTATCAGAATAGAAAGTAATCATAAAATAGTGAGTGTCTTGTTGTCATCTTCGATCGTTGAATTTGAGTTGCTTTGTATTTTGAGTGGGGCTAAACATAGGCAGTGGAATGAAAATATGTGTTTATTTCATTTTAAGGCAGCTCCATAAGCTATGGTTAGTTGCACATAATATATCCTTACAAGTGGCAAAGAAGAAAATCTGCCAATTAAAGCCCCATGGTAATACTAATTAGTAATATTATCAGGTTTTATCAAGTCAATGAAAAAGTATAATTTATATTAATATTTATAAGCTGCATGTTTTGACGTTCCTACAAATGTATCTGAGGCTGCTTTTAAGCCGATCTTGAAATTGCAACTAAATGAGTGCGAAGACTGAGGAGAGACGCTTACAAATGCTTTAGTGATCATGTGTAATACATGTAGATAGAACATAATTATGTGTTCTAGTATCTTGTTGTCATCTTCTATCTTAAAATTTCAGTTGCCTTTTGAGTGTGGCTACTATCAGGTCATGCGGAATGAACTTTCCCTGACCTTCAGAGCTGATCTTGAAGGGGCATATTAGAAATGAGTGCGAAGATTGTGGCAAGCTAGAGACCAAGCGCAACTTTATAGATCATGTATCAGAATAGAAAGTAATCATAAAATAGTGAGTGTCTTGTTGTCATCTTCGATCTTTGAATTTGAGTTGCTTTGTATTTTGAGTGGGGCTAAACATAGGCAGTGGAATGAAAATATGTGTTTATTTCATTTTAAGGCAGCTCCATAAGCTATGGTTACTTTTGCACAGAATTCCTAACACGTGGCAGTGGATGTGTGTATTGATAAGAAAAGAAAATCTGCCAATTAAAGCTCATGATAATATTTACTTATTTGTCAAATAATCATTAGGTTTTATCAAATCACTGAAAAAGTATGTGTACCATACTCCATTTTTTTTAAACTAATTTTTAAGCTGCATATATATGTTTTGACGTTCCTACAAATGCATCAAAGCTGATTTTGAAATTGCAATTAAATAAGTGCGAAAACTGGAGTGAGACGCTTAAAATGCTTTATTGATCACATACAAGTAATAGATAGAATATAATTATGTGATATTAAGTATCTTGTTGTCATCTTTTATCTTAAAATTTCAGTTGCCTTTTGAGTGTGGCTACTATCAGGTCATGCGGAATGAACTTTCCCTGACCTTCAGAGCTGATCTTGAAGGGGCATATTAGAAATGAGTGCGAAGATTGTGGCAAGCTAGAGACCAAGCGCAACTTTATAGATCATGTATCAGAATAGAAAGTAATCATAAAATAGTGAGTGTCTTGTTGTCATCTTCGATCTTTGAATTTGAGTTGCTTTGTATTTTGAGTGGGGCTAAACATAGGCAGTGGAATGAAAATATGTGTTTATTACATTTTAAGGTGGCTCCATCAGCTATGGTTACTTTTGCACCGAATTCCTAACACGTGGCAGTGGATGTGTGTTGATAAGAAAAGAAAATCTGCCAATTAAAGCTCATGATAATATTTACTAATTTGTCAAATAATCATTAGGTTTTATCAAATCACTGAAAAAGTATGTGTACCATACTCCATTTTTTTAAAACTAATTTTTAAGCTGCATATATATGTTTTGACGTTCCTACAAATGCATCAAAGCTGATTTTGAAATTGCAATTAAATAAGTGCGAAAACTGGAGTGAGACGCTTACAAATGCTTTATTGATCACATACAAGTAATAGATAGAATATAATTATGTGATATTAAGTATCTTGTTGTCATCTTCTATCTTAAAATTTCAGTTGCCTTTTGAGTGTGGCTACTATCAGGTCATGCGGAATGAACTTTCCCTGACCTTCAGAGCTGATCTTGAAGGGGCATATTAGAAATGAGTGCGAAGATTGTGGCAAGCTAGAGACCAAGCGCAACTTTATAGATCATGTATCAGAATAGAAAGTAATCATAAAATAGTGAGTGTCTTGTTGTCATCTTCGATCTTTGAATTTGAGTTGCTTTGTATTTTGAGTGGGGCTAAACATAGGCAGTGGAATGAAAATATGTGTTTATTACATTTTAAGGTGGCTCCATCAGCTATGGTTACTTTTGCACAGAATTCCTTACACGTGGCAGTGGATGTGTGTATTGATTAGAAAAGAAAATCTGCCAATTAAAGCCCATGGTAAAATTTACTAATTAGTCAATTAATCATAAGCATATACATGTACATGTAATTATGTGATAGTATTAAGTATCTTGTTGTCATCTTCTATCTTAAAATTTCAGTTGCCTTTTGAGTGTGGCTAATATCAGGTCATAAGGAATGAACTTTCCCTGACCTTCAGAGCTGATCTTGAAGGACATTATCTGAAATGAGTGCAAAGAGACCCAACTTCCCAAGTGCAGCTTTATTGATCATGTATCAGAATAGAAAGTAATCATGCAATAGTGAGTGTCTTGTCAGCTATCTTTGAGTTGCTTTTTTGAGTGGGGCTAATTCCAGGTCCTGTAGAAAATCACACCATTATGATTTGTTGTTAAATGAGAATTAAACAGATTTTCTGTTTTCCAAATATTATATTTAAATTTAAATTTAAAGTGTCAAAAGTGCCACCTATTTCACAGTATTAGGGATCCTTAAGGTGTGTTTCTAGATCCTACCTTGAGCATCAATGCACTGGCAGTCAGATGACTAGGAAGCTTCATTATGTGAACATTGTGTAACGTTTATAGTCAAATGGAGACTTTAGGCTAACTTTATTAGGCTTACCAGTTGATCACCGCTATGTATACCGGTAATGTTTTGCATATCAACTTGGGACTTAGGAGCCAACTGTGATCAGGTCCTCAGTTTGCTAGGACCAGATGATAAGAACACGTTCATATGTGTAAATTGTGTAAACTAAAGTTTGCAAGTCAAATACTTTAGGCCAATGTTTGCTCTGTTTCCAGGTAAACTTATATGCCATGATAGGCCAATGTGTAATGTTTTGCATATCAATTATTGACTTATGGGCAATTATAATCAGGTCCACAGTTGGCTTGGGTCAGATGACCAGGAAGCATCCTCACGTGTAAATTGTGTAAACTGAAGTTTGTAGGTCAAATGGGGACTTTTGGCCAACTTTACTTGGCTCATCAGTTGATCAGGGCATGATGACTCGTCAAAGGACCGCTATGTATAATGCAGGGCTTTTCAACCTGCGGCCCTCGGGACCATTTTGTGCAGCCCGCGAGACCTTCATGACAAAATAGTTTTAAAGCTATCAATCAATAATATGCAAATTTCATGTTCATTAAATCGACATCCATGTATTTTTGGTATTTGCAATACTACTCGTATGCATGCCCCCTTTTTATGACAGAAAATGGCAAAAAATACATTTGGCTTGAAAATAAGTTGCACAAAGATATTTCCCCTTGAACCTGGTTCACACGATTGCAGCCCGCGGTTGTTGAAAAGCCCTGGTATAATGTTTTGCATATCAACTTGGGCCTTACTAGCCAACTGTGATGAGGTCCTCAGTTTGCTAGGACCAGATGATGAGGAAGCATCAACATGTGTTAATTGTGTACTAAAGTTTGCAGGTCAAATGGGGACTTGGCCAACCAACTTTGCTAGGTTCCCCAGTAGAGTTATTATTATATAGGCCATGATTGGCAAATCATACTGTTTTGCATATCAAGTGGTGACTTATGGGCAATTTTAATCAGGTCCTCAGTTGGCTTGGGTCAGATGACCAGGAAGCATCCTCACGTGTACATTGTGTAAACTGAAGTTTGCATGTCAAATGGAGACTTTTGACCAACTTTACTGTTGCTAAGCAAAACATTAAATACAAATATATTACTTAGTGGTCCTTTGACGAGTCATCATGGTCCTGATGAACTGGTGAGCTGAGTAAAGTTGGCCTAAAGTTCCCATTTTACCTGTAAACTTTAGTTTACACAATGTACACATTAGTGCCCTGCGGGGCAAGACTTTCTTCTACCCCGACCCGGCACTACCCCAGTTTCATCAGCCCCGACCCGTAATTTTTCACCCTACCCAGAAAGTTTTTTTCTTGGACCAGACCGGACTGGACCGGGCATTTTTGCAGGGGTGTGATTTCTCTGGTTTTCTGGATTTTGAAATTTGATTTTTGTTTTTGTGGATTTTGTTGGTGTTGATTTTTTAATTTCTTTCTCTTAAAAGTGTTTAAAGCCTCTCCAAATGTCTAGTAAAATCCATAAAAGGGGTGGGGTTACCCCTTTCCTGGACCCCGGCGGTGAGGATGCTCGCTTCGCTCTATATTTGGATCTTCCTGGATTTTTTTCCAACCCTCAATCACACCCCTGATTTTTGTCACGGCCCGTAAACGTATGTCTATTTTGAAAATTATGCGTAAAATCACAATTTACATTCTGTAATAGGCAGTTTTTATTCTGAAATAAGCATATTCAACAAAAAAATAAATTACAACAATTTCAACGGAATACATCCATTGTGAAATGCTGATGGTTTTTATTTAGTTTTGGGGTGGTTATATTGAGTTTGGACTAATTTTGTTTAAAAATCAAAATTTACCCGAATGCAAATTCAACCCGCCCATGGACTGCCCCGAAAATGTTTGCCCCGACCCGGACAGGACTGTAAATTTGACTAAAAATCCTTACCCGACTTGGGTTTTGGTCCAGGTCGGTCCGGGGACATTCGGGGTTTCTGGGTGTTTCGTATGGCTCTAGTACACGATGCTTCCTCAACATCTGGTCCTAGCCAACTGAGGTTCTCATCACCCCAGAATCCACAGTGATATTTATTTTCTATTTTCTTGTTGCAGATACTTCCTGTAACTTGTTCGAAATCATGGTAAGTTTGTTTTTGTATTCATTGAACATTTGTTTGAAAATAATTACCATATGAATTGAAAAACAATTTGCAGGGACATGCTATAACTCAAGTCTGCTATGTACAATCATGGGGTGAGGCTACATGCTCTTGAGATGCATTCCTTAAGGGAGCATTTATGATAAATGGGATTTTGTACACTGCTTGTTTTGAAATTAAAGGCCAAAAGTGATTTCTGCATAATTTTGTCAATCATTTGTGACTCGACACAGTCAAATGAGGTGGATGTCGGCATAATTTAATCATTTTGAATTATAACAACATGTTATTTTGATTTAATGTGTTTATATCATGTGAAATGAATATATGCCAAATTTGACTTGCATCTCCAATTCCTTTCCCGAGAATTACAACTTTTCTTTCATTTTTCTATTTATCGGAGTCGACACCAATTAATTACAAGGGTGCTGAATTCTGCACCATCTGTTGTAATCCTTGACCATTAAAAGATGTACGCTTTTAAAAATGATCGTTTAGGTATTTAAAAGTGTTAAAGCGACTACGACGTGAAAATGTCAATTAGCCTCATCCCCAGTGTGCTTTTACCAAAATGTGGATTTTCTTCATTTTCCAGGGGGGGTTGTCATGTTTGTGCTTTTTTTTCTTCATAGATTTTTGAATTTCATCACATTTTGAGTGTAATCAGTGGATAAACCCAAGATAAAAATATGAAGATATTGTCAAATGCCCCTTTAACTCTCAAGAGCACATAACTTTGAATTTCCAATTCAAGGCATTCCAGAAAAGCAATCTGAAATTTATCATAACTCTGGAAAGGAATGTAATAAATTAATGATTTTGGTATCAAAATGATCCTAGACTTGTGGAGAATGCATTACAGGTATTAACAAAATCTGAAGTTGGTCAACGCACATCATCATCAGCCTCATTTACCCGCGTTGGGTCACATTTATTATTCTAGAAAATATTTTTGAATAACATGCTCCCTTAAAGATAAAGTTGAGTTCTGGTCATGTGATTGCATTGTGAAAGAAACGGTGTGGAATCTATCAGAAAAGGTTGATCATCTAGTATATAAGTATTCGTGTGTATTGCAAGGTTCTGGAATCATCAAAATGATGAGACATTTGGCCAAAGCTTGGCAAAGTTACAATCACTGTACACAGAATGATGTATATGGGACTACACGAGCACATGGCGAAAAAAACCTACCCCCCCGATTTTTACGTATTTTATGTCATATTTAGAATATGAAGGCATTTGAAGAGCCATGCTTTTCAGGGAACATGTTTAATCTGATGTTCTTCCACAATGATAACGCTCACAAATTATATTTTACCTCTTCCCAGAACTCAACCTTCTCTTTAAGGAAATGCTCTACCCTATTGGTCATTCAGTCACAAACAAAATATGATAAGCATGGTCTAGTGTGAAGGTTTAATGACAACTAAGTGTGTATTCCTTTTGTTTACACCAATCCGGCCAAGCCATTATTACTGTGGTGTCCCCGCTGTCAAACTGCTGTGTCCCGAGAGAGGGGGTTCATATCCTTTCATGGGATTGATGCATACATAATACAACACAATTGATCTATTGCAATGTGCAATCACGTATTAATTTGCAGAATCAAAATGTACCGTGCTGATTCAGTTGTGGTTCCGTCAACAGAGGGCCAAATACAGTAAACGCTCGACGGGTTGGTGTATAGAATGCATAACATGCACTTCAAACATCTGCTTTATTATTTTTAATTATAGGTATTGAAATGTATAGAGCATTTCATGACTGACCAACATTTTAATGCTCTTCACTTTAATTATTTTAAGAACCATATGACTTGCAAAAGTATAACTGTAATATTTAAATTTGTTGTCACCGCCCTTTAAATCTTTCACAGAAAGTTTCACTGAAACTATAAGTACTGTTAGGCTTTGACGAACGACCATATGCTTTGGGTAGTTTAGTCCGTTACCTTAAGCTTTCTGTTTATTTGATAAACTTATACTGACTGGTGATGAAACATTGCCATTTTGATCTCCTGCTGTATTACTGAGAAATTGCTTTCAAAAAGCTGATTAAATATGATTCAGTTTCATTAGAGTTCTGCTGTCCCATCACTTTGGATGTTACTAAATACTGTACTAACCCCATTATAGTCCCACCTAAATTTACACTGGAATGAACTTGAATTTAGAGGGTGGGATCAAAATCCCATTTTGATCCTAACAAAAAAAAACACAAGCATCAAAATGTCAGCCTTTTCTGACGTAAATGAATTCCAGATATTTTCAAGTGTCAAATGAGGTGTGTGATTAACAAAGATCTGCAAATGAACTGAAGCATAATCACAAGAGAAACTACCAAAACAGTAATAATAGCAAAAACTGCTTGTAACTAGAATTGTCTTCCAGCAAAGAGCTTCTAAGGTGGGATTATAATTGAACATGGGTCTACTCAGGTCAGTATGGCAATAGTCCATAGAATAGATGAAGTCCAGGCAATATCAGCATTACATCTGTGAGAAATTTCTGAAACTTTTGCATGTTGAAAGTACATGTAGGTGTACATGTAGATCATATCGAAGATCTCTATCTTGGTTGCAGTTAATCTTGACTTGAATCAATACCTCATCAAATCATTGACTTGCATGTATTATACAGGAACGATCAAGAAGGCGGGTTTCCCCAGAGCAAGTGGCAAAGAAGTGGTGTCAAATATCACAGGATCAGTCAGGGTTTCAGAAGAAATACATCAACCAATACATTGGTATTTTTTTATCACTGGCATTGTCCCTTTAATGCCATTTTCATCTTCATCTATATTTTGGTTTGTTAATTTCCTAAAACTTCATATATGTTTTGGTTTGGTTCCAAAACTTCGTTATTTTGGTTTGTTTCCTAATTTCTTCGTGTTTTTTGGAAGTTCTCTGAATCTTCATTGATGCGTTGTTTTTTTAGGCAAAAAAAAAAGAGGTTCGTCTCAAGTTCCACAGGTTCAAAACCCAAAGCGCTATGCATTTTTGTTTGTTTTTTGGTTTAGTCTAAAAAAGTTATGCGGGAGTGTCGTGGTCGAGTGGTTTAAGGCGCTTGACTGGAGATGCACTAATATCCTTTGGCAAGATATTAACCTGCACTTGCTACTCTCCACCCAGGTGTTAAATGGGTACCCAGCAGTAGGATGCGGCCGTCATTGTTTGTCAAACAGTTTTTTGAGCATCAAGTAACGCCTGGCTGGAATGCTCCCCAGGGAGTGGAGATCGTGCACAGTGTGTGCGGGCAAGCACTGAATCCTATGACCGGGCTAATAGTATATTTGTAAAGCGCTTAGAGACATTTGTATTTAAGCGCTATATAAAAGCTTAATATTATTATTATTATGCGCTCGTGGAAATTCCTTTTTTTATTGCATTTTTAGCCCACTTTTTTTTCTATTTTTTTGCTGCTTTGTGGCCATATTTTTATTTTTGCATATCAACTGGGGACTTAAGAGCCAACTGTGATCAGGTCCTCAGTTTGCTAGGACCAGATGATAAAGACGCAGTCATATGTGTAAATTGTGTAAACTAAAGTTTGCAAGTCAAATAGAGACTTTAGGCCAAGGTTTGCTCTGTTTCCAGGTAAACTTATATGCCATGATAGGCCAATGTGTAATGTTTTGCATATCAATTATTGACTTATGGGCAATTTTAATCAGGTCCACAGTTGGCTTGGGTCAGATCATGGACCTATTACGGATGGACATTCAACGTGATTCTTTCTTTGATCCAATGATAGTCACCGCCTTCTGATTATGTGCATCTTAATGAGAACATTCGGCTGTTTTAACAATAACGACTGCGTAAGCATTTTCGGGCATTGACAAAGGAGCAGTTTCCCTCTCTTGGGTTTTGTTTGGATGGTGTGCTCTGTAAGAGTATGTCTTCAATAAAAACATCCCCAATGGGGAGCAGCAAAGTTGAAAAGCAGACGATTTTGGTGATATGAAATGTATTATTACTGATCTTGATTCTGTCCCGGCTTTTTGGCGGCGACCATGATGAGATCAAAGTGAAGAAACATTTACGGAATGTTATTGAGACGACATTGACGTAGACAATCACAATGAATTTGTTAAGAAAACGATGAATGTCCATCCGTAATAGGTCCATGGTCAGATGACCAGGATCGACGCATCCTCATGTGTACATTGTGTAAACTGAAGTTTGTAGGTCAAATGGGGACTTTTGGCCAACTTTACTTAGATCTGTGTTTTGGTTTGTTTCCTTATATCAATGCTTTGGTTTGTTTACTGACATCCATGTTTTGGTTTGTTTCCTTATATCCATAATTTGTTTCCTTATTTCCATAGTTTGTTTCCTTATATCCATAGTTTGTTTCCTTACATCCATGTTTTAGTTTGTTTACTGACATCCATGTTTTGGTTTGTTTACTGACATCCATGTTTTGGTTTGTTTCCTTATTTCCATAGTTTGTTTCCTTATATCCATAGTTTGTTTCCTTACATCCATGTTTTAGTTTGTTTACTGACATCCATGTTTTGGTTTGTTTACTGACATCCATGTTTTGGTTTGTTTCCTTATTTCCATAGTTTGTTTCCTTATATCCATAGTTTGTTTCCTTACATCCATGTTTTGGTTTGTTTACTGACATCCATGTTTTGGTTTGTTTACTGACATCCATGTTTTGGTTTGTTTCCTTATATCAATGTTTTGGTTTGTTTCCTTACATCCATGTTTTGGTTTGTCCCCCAACACAGACGTGAAGGTTTGCTCCCTTAAATTGATGTTTTAGTTTTGGTTTGTTTTCTTACATTGTTTTGGTTTGTTTCCTGACACATGTATAAGTTTTGCTTCCTTTCATCGATGTGTTGGTTTGTTTCCACCGTCCATGTTTTGGTTTGCTTCCTTACATCTATGTTTAGGTTTGTCCCCTAATGTATACGTTAAGGGTTGTTTTACAATCAGGGTACATCTTTCGGGGCTAATTCACCCCGAGCCCCCGTGTATTTTTTTCGCTGTTGCTGAAGTCCACAATGTGATCCATAAAAATAATATATGGACTTCCTCAAAAATGGTATTACCATTATGCCAACTTATAGGCCACCAGTAGCACTACCTACAGGTACAAAGATCTGTTTGACATCTTTGATAAATAACACAAATATGTACCTACTGGTATGTGCATGAATGTTAATATTTGTGTGAATAAAACTCTGTCAAAATCAACATTTAGGTATCACCTACTAGTCCATAATAGAAACTGAAGCACGGTAGTTAATAACTAAAAAACATGAATATATTTGGTTATTTGGTAATGTGCTCCATTGATTTGAAATTTTGTGACGCATTCCGTCAAAAAATGTCCTCTCCGAAATCACTTCAATTAAACTCCAAAATTAAATGAACAAAATGGTTAATGACATTTTGTTTATAAACTCTTATCCAAGTTATATACATTTATGTTAAGCCGCTAGACAAAGTGTTTGAAGAATGTCCTATGCCAACCGTGCTCTTAGAGTGTGCAAGTTGCTGACGTGTCCAGCTTGGCATACCAAAATGCGGTCGGCATAGATGACATTTTGCCCTCTGTAGACCGTGCCCCTTGCCCCATGGGGTCAAGGGGCTATGCGTATGCCAAATACTGTAAAAGGATTTAATTTCATAGGTTGTTTTTTTTTCGCGAATTTAGAAAAAGCAGGATTTGGCGAGAGTTTTAAATTTGCGAATACAGAAAATTTACTGTTAGTTTTAATGTAAATTTTGCGAGGGATTTAATTTCGCGAATTTTATACCCTCACAAAATTAAATCCTTTTACAGTATGAGCTCTGTAGTTTTGCAATTTTTATGCTAGAGGTGGTTATACAAAGAGTCTTCAGAAGGAGGAGAAGATCGAGAAGACTAAACACCCTTCATAGCATAAGATCAGGGTGCAAAATAAGGAGTCTGAAGGGCACACCATTTTAAGGCAGTTATTAAAGGGCGCATCAATTTAGAAGGCAAAAATATTAAAAGTATAGCAAAACAATATGGTAACTTCTGGGGCATCAAGGCAACTGGTAGTGGCACCGACGGCAATTGCCTTTGATGCCTTCGGTTATTTTGCACCCTGCATAAGATCTATGCCGGGTTTCACCCAGGCAAAATAAGGAAGTGTTATTACCTGAATAACTCATATCTGCTCTGCCCCAATCTACCTTTGGATTAAATAAGGATTTCATGTGTTGTCTTCTGCACAGGTTATGGTCTCTTTGCAACCAGAGATTTCTCCAAAGGCGATTTCTTATTGGAATATAGAGGGGTACACAGACCTGATACAGCTGCTGAAACAGATGATGTTGATAACACCTATGTGTTTGAGTACAGACATAATGGGAAAGATATGCTGTAAGTTTTTAAACTAATTTAAAGTAATCTTGTTATTATTATATAGCCAGTTGTTGATTCAACACAATTTCAGCATTGGGAGCTGCCAAGAAGCCAATCTCAACAATCAATGATTTGCATTAAAATGTGTAGCTAATTAGGCAAATATCAACAATCAATGGTTTGCATCAAAATGTGTAGGCAAATGTGGATATATTACACATGAATTTAATGAGTGTGACTCTCCACTTTTGAATAATTGAAAGTTATTTTTCAATGCAAGGAGTAGCAGTTAGAAATCACCAGTGAAATGGAATTCTACATCCTCACAATTTGTTATTGATTATGAAGAACATCACAAATTCACTGCATAGTGCATATAACTAACCATTGGTTAATTAATGGTTCAAGTTTCGGGTCAAGCAACTGTTTGAATTATGGTATACCATCTAGGTTTTTGTTTGCGATCGGTCAGTGGTTCAAAACCAAGATAGCGTGACCAAATTGACCAGCAATGACACCTTTTGTAATGTGCACTACAACATTGAATAACAAGAAATACTAAGGTCGACTTGTAAAATTTTTGTTGTTTTTTTGTTGACAGAACAACACTTTGTATGAGTTTTTCTTGTATTCAAGAGTAGTAAAACATAATAACCTGTGGTCCAGTGTTTTTACACAGTTTGGGTTTACTTAACTCACAAATGCTACATGTAAATCGAAATCAACTGGTATAAACAAGGTTTCATTGTGTTTACCTGCTGATTAATGTTCTAAATAAGAGCATGTTAGAATCTGTGAATACCCCTTTAAATAATTTTAAGAAATCTATCAAAATTTACTTTCTTCCTTATGTTTTGGTCAAAAGGATCGACGCCACATGCCCTAACTCCTGCCTTGCTCGATATATCAACGACTGCCACAAAGACCCAACTCCATTATGAAGAAGTTCTCTCTCTCAGGAATGATACATCTCTGCTTGTATACTTTATCCAATATCAAAATTGGAGAAGAAATCAGGTACGACTATGGGATGCTGGATATGCCATGGCGACAGGTACCGGTATGTACCATTTCTTTCTAATTTGTATCTTATACTTAGACATAGGCTATCCTTCATCTAATTCATCTTCATCTGTACGTAGCGACAGGTTTATACCATTAATTAGAATGGTCCTTATAATAATTGGGCAGTGTTATTATTAATGTCATGTTTAAGGATATTCCCTGAGTTGGACCACCTCTTAATGACATACATGTAGTAGATATGCCCAAGAAAACCTCATTTCCAAAATGTCAGTTATGCATTAGTGTGTGCATTACATTGCTCCATATCCTACAGCGTGTTTTCTCTCGGGTCCAAGAGAAACTCAAACATGGTGATGTTCTGTCGCTATAGAATTGTCAAAATTCTAATTGTCATATATAACTCTAAAAGTCTTGTTTTTTAGCTCATCCGGCCCAAAGGGCCCGATGAGCTTATGCCATGGCGTGGCGTCCGTCGTCCGTTCGTCCGTCCGTCTACAGTTTTCAAAATGCTTCTTCTTCGTTATTTTTCAACCGATTTTGATTCTGATTGTTTCATATGATAGGGCTAGGACGGGAATTTAAAAATTCGACACAGAATCGTCAAATTCATTATCTATGCTATTTATGCAAATTGATTCGAAATCACAAAAAATGCTTCTTCTCCTTCATTTCTCGACCGATTTTGATTTGGTTTGCTTTATCTGGTAGAGCTAACTTTGGTACACTAAATTTCTACACAGAATTTTGAAATTGTTCTCCATTAATTATTATGGTAATTTATGCAAATTTATTCCAAAAATAACAAAAATTGCTTCTCCCATCATTTCTTGACCGATTTTGATTTGGTTTGCTTATTTGGTAGAGCTAAATTTGGAACACTAAAATTATACACAGAATTTTGAAATTGTTCTCCATTAATTAATTATGGTAATTATGCAAATTTATCCAAAAATAACAAAAATTGCTTCTCCTTCATATTTCGACATTTTGATTTGGTTTGCTTTATATCGTAGAGCTACTTTTGGTACACTAAACTTCTACACAGAATTTTGAAATTGTTCTCCATTAATATTTAT